ATAAAGAGAGAGCACTTCAGACCAACAGAGAAGAACGTGTTCATTTAAGACAGTGGTATGAGAAGATGAGCCTTCCTCTAAGTTAAGCCATTCAGAGTACTGCAATTGACTGAATCCTACTGAGTCCTAGAGCCAGAACTAGTCTAAAATTCAGGAGAACTTGGTTCTAGTCTAGACCCAGCTGATAGCCAGGGGTGACACCTGGCTCAAACATGAGCACAYACCTCAGAGCGTTATTTGAAAGAGATGGGTAAGAGAGGTGGGGGTCCTTCAGTTCTAAAGTTCTTAGATTATCATTTGGTTATTGAAGGGATTGCATTAAAAAGTTCCAACACATTTGCCTTAGGTTATTGAATAACCAAAACATTGGTAAGCCAGACGTGGTGGTGCRTACCTGTAATCCCAGTGAAGTCAGGAGGCTAAGGCAGGAGGATTGCAAATTCAAGGCCAACCTGGCCTTTAGTGAGGCCCTATCTCAAGATTAAAATTAAAGTTCAATGGTAAAGCACTTCTGGGTTCAATCCCCAATATCCTACCCCCTCAGAAAAAGGAAAGGAAAAAAAAAAGGTGAGTCTTTATCTATTGTATCCTTTGTATTGCCTTGATGATTTCCTAATCTCTTTATAGATTTAATAGACTTACCCAAGGATTACTATAAGGCCTTTAAAGGGAGAGGACTAGATTTTAATGGCATTTTCAGAAAAGGAAAATAAGTAGGCAAAAAGATCTTTGTGTCCTCCAACCCTACCCACCCCCTTCAGTATGTTCTATATGGATACTGGGACTTCTCCCTAAAGTAAGGTATTTTCTGGCTTCTATACACCCTGACAATGTTCACTCTTATTAAATTAATACAAAGTGCCTGGAAGCCTGGCCTCTCCATCCTCCTAGTCAGGAATGCCAAAGAAGGAAAATAGTTGTTCTGTATTATGTTGACTCATTATTTGTTCTTCTTAATGAACATATTAGTTACATTCTTTGGGTATGCAAAGAAGAGTCTTGCCCAGGGTACTTTTGATAATGGAGGCATGCTAGTAGGCTAGGAGGAAAGAGGCTGGCATTCAATGGCTTTTCTTTCTTAGCATTGCAGCCAGATTGAGTGGAAATATCTGCAGCAGGTCACAAAAACCATCTGCTGTTYTGGGGGCTCAGCTTAGTTTAGTGGAGGATTTGATTGAGCAAAACTGGGTCTTTGTATCCTGGAGCTCAGGGATCAGGCAGTTTCGCGCTAGCCCCTCTGTGGTGTTTTCAGGCACTGACTACTGATCCTGAGCTCCACTGGTCGTGGCCATGTTAGCATGGTGGTTCTCATCAGCTGCACACAGCAAAAACCACATTGTCCACCCTCAGAACCCTCTTCAGGGCTGCTCATATCAGAAAGGGGCCCGTGGATGTGGCAGCATCATGAAATGGTCTCTTTGGTACATGGAATCATTCTTCTAATAACTCTGAAAACCACAGCAGAGCAACAAGGAATACTAYGAGGAGCAAACTTTTCTGAAAGTTAAGTGTATGAAAAAAGCAAGGATTCACTCCCTCAGAGCAGCCTYTGCTGCAGGCCTCCCTTGAGTGTTTAACTCACAGCGAATGTTTTATTGAGTAGCACAGTGGGTGGGCTCTGGCCAAGCACAACATTGATGGGATCTTGGTCAGTTGGCTGTCTTTGAAGACAGGGGCCTTCCCTCTGCCAAGCCTGACTAAGACTTCCACAGGAGCACACAGTATGTGGRAAAGGACCTCTGGCCGGGTGTTTCACTTTAACTTTTCTTTGATACTCAGTCCTACATCAGAATCACCTGATTCTGGCTCTGAATACTACATCAGAATCACCTGAAATGCTTGTTGATACTACAGATTACAGAAAGGCCTCACCTCCTATATTCCTGAGCCTGAAGAGGTAGAACCCAGGAAGCAACAGTTCTTTTAGAAAAATTTTACCTGTGTATCTACACACACATCCACCCAAGATTTTTGTTCCTTGGAAGAAGGAATAGCTGCATTTCCCCCTATTTCTCCTTCTAAATACAGATGAGGGTGTAAAGGGCAGCAAAGCAAGGCAGAAAAACTTAGACAATAGCCACTCCTTCAGCCAAACAACACAGAAAAATCTGTCCCCCTTCCCTGCCAGGCTGCATGGCTGAGTGGAAACCTAGATACCCACCACTGCTGGGCTATCACAAGGGGCACCACCCCATTGGGTAGTGTCAAAGAAAGCTAAGAAGGATGCCAGGACTTTCATCCCTAGCAGCTGGTAATGAGTGTCTCACTCCCCCWCCTCACCCCTATTCCTCATGTGCTGTGTCATTGGAGACAATATGGAGAACCTAGACTTCCACCACTTCTTAATTGGAATGAAGCTGAATGATAGTGCAGTAATGCATATAATCAGTGCAGGATAGTTGAAGGTGAATAACAAAGTACTCCTTTGAACCAGAGTAGCAGCGGTGGGAGCCTGGTGGGGAGTTAGAACTGCAACCCACACCCAGCAGTATCAAGGAACCCTTTTTTCCCTCAGGTGTCAATAGAGGTCAAGTGGGAAACCTGAACTTAATTCTCTCCTGGCAGTGATAATGTGGCATTCTCCTCTTTCCCCTGTTTGAGCAGTGTCCTAGTATGATAGTTAAACTAGAAAGTTTAAATGATACCTAGAGCTRAGTGTAGCAGCTCACRCCTATAATCCCAGTGACTCTGGAGGCTGAGGCCAGAGGTTGACAAGTTCAAAACGAGCCTCAGCAACTTAGCAAGACCCTCTCTCAAAATCAAAACATGAAAAAGAGCTGGGGAAATAGTTCAGTGATAGAGCACCCCAAGTTCAGTCTCCAGTATCCCYCCATACACACACACTTATTTAGAGTCATAACACTCAGAAGGTTCAGGTTTCAGCTGAAGTCACTTGCCATACCATCAATGACAAAAACTTGAACTTTAATGGGGAGAAAAAAGATAATAGATGCCAGCACCAGATGACAGAGATGTTAGAATAATCTGACAAAGATTTTAAGTAGCAATCATAAAAATGCTTTCATGAATAATTGCAAATACTCTTGAAACAAGTGAAAAATTATGATAAATCTGCCCTAAAATCCAATCATATTTTAAACATATCTTGCCATTTAAGTAACCCCTTTGATGAATAATTGTTTTGTTTAAAGTATGCATCTAAGCCAGAAATAGCTGCTACTTCAGGAGGGTCAGGCAGTTTGAGGTCAGCCTGGGAAACTTCGCAAGACCCTGTCACAAAATGAAAAATAAAAGGAACTGGGATATAGCTCAGTGGTAGAGCACCCCTGGGTTCAATCCCAGTAACACTAGATAAGTAAATAAACAAGCACATATGCCAGTATCTGCTTTAACTCTGAAAAATTTTAGTCCATCAGTTGGAAACCAGCCTCCCTTGGGTGCCATTCAGGTCGTGAGGGAGCTAAAGAGGCTGTAAATCAATCTGTCTGGGTCAAGAGTGGTGTCATGACTGGAATAGAGATCAGAATATGTCTCTGTTAAATGCCAGTCAGACCATATGTGAATCAGTGAGAGATGTTTTAGAGCATCAGATTTTGAGGGGAATACTGGCCAGTACATAGTGTATACAAGTCTGGGAAACATGTCATGGGAGGGGTAATCACAAAAAAGTTTATAAATTGATTGATTGGGGGTACTGGGGCGGTAACCCAGAAGTGCTCTGCCACTAATCCATGTCCCCAGCTCTTTTTATTCTTATTTTGAGACAAGGTCTCACTAAGTTGCCAAGACTGGCCTTGAAACAGGCCTATGATCCTCCTGCCTCAGCCTTCTGAGTAGCTGGGATTACAGGTGTGCATCACTCTCTGCTGGCAGAATTGGTTGATAGTGAATGTAAACCAGTCTAAATTCACCTCATTTGATGGATTGATGTTGAATGAAAATTAAGATTAAATGGTGTGTGTGWGTGTGTGTGTGTGTGAATATGTATGTATGTGTGTGACATATGCCAGGTGTGTGTAATGTTGTGTTTGGGAAAAGTTCCTGAGATAATGCTTTTTCCTAATGTCACTCTAAGGGCCTGGACATAGTCTCCCCTGGTCTTCTGGACAATCTCTAAACTTTAATATGTTTAGAGAAGTCGCTCTGTGCATTCTATCTGAGAAATTCACTTACCAAAGGTACCTAGCTAAAGTATCCAATATATACTTCCTTACTCTCCCTCTTCTCTTGACTGTCTTCAATAGATTGATGATGATGATGATGATGATGATGATGATGATGATGATGATTTGTTGGTACTAGGGTTTCAATCCAAGGACACCAAGCACTCTACCATTGAGCTACATCTTTTTAATTTTTTTTATTTTGAGATAGGGTCTCACTAAGTTGCCAAAGATGGCCTGGAACTTGCAGTTAGCCTCCCAGTTAGCTTGTGTGTGTGTGTGTGGGGGGGGGGGTTGGGCGGGTTGGGGGGAAGGAGAGGGAGCTTGGGGGGAGGGGAGACAGTTGGGGGGGGTGGTCTCCATGTGTTCACAGTAAATTAGGACCACAGCTGAATGACTGTTAAATGTACTAGTTAACTCACTTGGAGGCTTTTTTTTTTCCCCTTTCCCTTTTAATTAAAGAGAGAGGGTGGATTACATTTCATTTGCATATGATTGCCTCCTCCACACATTTTATTTTACTCTCTTCTTCTTTTCATTCCTCTTCTCCCACCTCCTTGGAGTGATATGTAGTCTTTTTTTTTTTCCTTGCAATTTCTCTAAGAAATTTTTATTTAGAGTCTGCCTGTGGTCCCCTGAGGCCTCCTTGGCTCCTGCTTGTGCTCTCTGCCAGGGAGAGACACTCTCCTGAAGTGCTTGTGAGGGAAACTGATCACATGACATTTTCCCCTTGCCCTTTTGGAGCAATCAGCTCTGGGCCTCTTAGGGGGAAAAAGTCAGGCCAGAAGCAAGATGCATGTGTTTGCATAAGCATTAGTAGTTCAACGTRTGCCCTGGTTCTATAGCTGAGGACAAGCCTAACTTATTCATTTACAGCTTCTTTTATTGCAGAAAAAGGAGTGGACGTGGGATGAGAGCAAGATGCTGGTGATGCAGGACCCCATCTACAGGTAAGAGCCCAGTCCAAAGCTCAGGAGGATGCAGAGCCCCAGGGTCTCCCTGCCATCTCCTGGAGCCATCTGTTAGGCTGGTGGGTCTAGACAGATTGAAATAAACTTTTATTACTTTTCCCTTATGAGATCTGCTGTCTCTGTAAATGTAAGTATAAGAAATAAATCTGCCTTATCTTTAGGATGGAAAGTTTTTCTGATTGTATTAAATTGTATTAAGGGAGCTGTGAAGGATTTCTTCTTGTTTTTTAATCTAGATCTCTCTGTTATAATCAGAGACCCTTTAAATTTGTGCTGGTTTTATCCTAACTGAAATTTTGTAATTGCTTACATGTTGATTATGATAAAATGAGGTTACTGGGTTATCCCATCCCCCTGTGCTCTCAGTTTCCCACCGTGTTCTCTTCTTTCTGTCCCTTCAGAAACTGAGCCTAGATAAAGGACTTGAGATCACTTAGGAAAGCAGAAAATTAAAAATATAATTTCTGGGTATTTATCTTATTCTCCAAATTCATGTGTTGAAATCTTTACTCACAAGGTGAGGCTTCAGGCGGTTGGACACTTCAGAGGTGATTAGGTCATGAAGGTGGAGCCCTCGTATTTAAGATTAGTGCCCTCATAAAAGAAGCCCCAGACAGCTGACTTGCCCTTTTCACCATGTGAGGACACATCTGTGAACCAGAAAGTAGGCCTTCAGCAGACACTGGRTCTACCAGTACCTTAATCTTGGACTCTCCAGTCCCCAGAACAATAAGAAAGACATTTTTATTGTTTTGAGCCACCTGGTTTGTGATATTTCATTATAGTAGATTGAATGGATACATACCCAGAAATTGCTTTCACAATGAGATTTGTATGAATTCTTTTTTTTTTTTTTTGAGGATTGAACTGCAAAGCATTTTACTACTGACCTATATGCCAGCCCATCAAAAAAAAAAAAAAAACAAAAAAACACTTTTTTTAAAAAAAATTTTGAGACAGAGTCTTGCTAAGTTGCTTATAGCCTAGCTATATTGCTATATTGCTGAGGCTGGCTTTGAACTTGTTATCCTTATGCCTCAGCCTCCCACATCACTGGGGTTACAGAAATGTGCCACCATGCCTGGCTGTGATAATTATAATTCCTATAGAGATTAGATGGCTACCATTCATATGTATTCTATGTCAGAAGAATACCAGACAGCAGTAACATACAGAAAGTCAGGGCTGTTCTTGGATTCAGGGCAGGACCTCGGAACCTGGGTGTTATTCTTCTGCACTGGATCTCTGCAGACCAACACCCCCCCCCCCCCTTAAACGCTTGCCTCCTTCCTGTTTTTTTATGGTGCTAGGGATTGAACCTAGGGCCTTGCACATGCTAGGCAAGCATTCTACCATCCTTCTTCCTGTTTGAAGGGAGAGTGGCCATTTCTTTGGAAATTGACAAACCTAGACTTAGCTTCTCCTTTTGTCTCCTCTCAGATTACTGCCATGACTTTGTTGACAAAATAGGTAAGGTTTGGAGCTCAACTGTGAAGATRGCAACATGGGTGACCTTGCCTTCTAGTTGAAGAGTAGGTGAAAGAATTTCTATTCATTTGAAAAATATATTTGTGTGAAAGACTTACACCAGGTACTATGCTGGGTAATTAAGTCACRGGCCCTTGTTCTCAGGAAGTTTTATTCCAGTAGGGAAATGGACTCTGAATAGATCACTGTGGTATAAGATGTTGCATCTGACAAAGTAAATTTCCTCCTCTATGTTCCTGTTGTACTTTTTTTTTYCTCTCTCTCTCAGTTCTGAACTACACTCTACCACTGAACTACATCCCCAGTCCTTTTTATTATTTATTTTAAGACAGGATCTCACTAAGCTGCTTCGGGTCTCACTAAGTTCCCCAGGTTGGCCTTGAATTTGTGCTCCTCCTGCCTCAGCCTCCTGCATTTCTTGGATTACAGTCTTACATCACTGCACCTGGTTCCTATTGTACTTTTCAATGTTTCTTAAAATAACTTCATTGTATGTTATGGTTTAGATGTGAGATATCACCCAAAAGTTCATGTGTGAAACAATGTAAGAAGGTTCAAAGGTGAGATGATTAGAATAAAGCAGCTTTAACCTAATCAGTGGAGTAATCCACTGATGCATTAACTGGGTGTTATCTGTAGGTAGGTAGTGTGGCTGAAGGAAGTTGATCACTGATGATGTGCCTTTGGGGTTTATATTTTGTCCCAGGTCAATGGAGCTCTGCTTTGCTTCCTGATTACCATGTCCTGAGCTGCTTACCTCTGCCATGCCCTACCATCACAATTTTCTGCCTCAACTTGGGCCCAGAGGAATGGGGTTAGTTGACCATAGACTGAACCTCTGAAATTGAGTCAAAATAAACTTGTTCTCCTTTAAATTGTTCTTGCCAGGTCTTTTGGTCACAGTGGTGCAGGAGCTGAATAAAACAGTATATTACTGTTACTTACTTATTTAAAATGTCACTCTTGCCACTAGACTATGAGGCTTTTGAAGGGAAGAACTATGTACTTTTCACTTTTGCATATCCAGTATTAAGCTCATACTGGATCATATGAGATACTTAATAAATGTGTAATGGGTGGGTGGATAGATGCCTTGAATTAATGTCTGAAAATTACCGTGAGTGGTATAGTGATTCACAAAAGAGAACAATTACTTTCTACTTGAGTGATGAGAAAAGGCTTTAAGAAACAGATTGTATGAAAACTGGGCTTGAAGAATGGAAGTAGACAAATCTCTATCTTTTGAATTTTATAAAAAACTTTCTTGGGTTTTTGTTTTTATTTTTCATCGTGCCACCATATATATAAATAAATGACCTCTTTGTAGATGCTGGTCATAAGTTGAATTTTTCTTGTCTCTGATTGAGAGAAAAGACTTTCCCAGTTTTTACCAATCCCAAACAAGTTGCTTACTTTATTTTTTAGCAGCTTTATTGAGGTATACTTGGCATACAAAATGAAATATCTTTAAATGAATAATTTCTTAAGCTTTGAAGTATGCACACCTATGAGACTGTCACCTCAATCGAAACGGTGAGCATTTCTGTTACCTCCAAAAGTTTCCTTGTGTCCTTTTGCAATCCTTCTTTCCCATCCTTCCACAATCTACCCCTTGCTAAACCCCATATCCTATTATTGAATTTTCAGTCTTTTGTAAGCTCTGGATATAACCTTTGTCATATTTATGACTTACAAACCTTTTCTCCAAGTCTTGCTTGTCTTTTCTTTTAATAATGTCTTTTGAAGAGCAAGTGTTTTACATTTTGATTAAGTCCATTTTATCAGTTTTTTTAAAAAAATGGATTGTGCTTTTGTCATATCTAAGAAGTCTTTACCTGGCTCAAGGTCACAAGTATTTTTTGTTTTCATCTAGAAATGTGATAGTTCTAGCTTTTATGTTTAGGTGTATGCTACAATTTGATTATTTTTTTTTTACATGATGTGAGAGTAGATCAAAATTGCCCTTCCTCCTCTCCCACATCCCTACCTCAGCCACCACCAGTGAAGGTCCACTTCCAGCCTCATTTGTTGAAAAAGTGTTCTTTCTCCACTGAAATGCTTTCACATCTCTTAAAAATCCATTAGTTATACTTGTATGGTCAAATTGTATTGCCTAGCATATGCTACACAAGTGCTGTACCGCTAAGCTACATCCCCAGCCCTATCTATCCACTTACAAAAAGAAATATGTATTTTTAAGGAGGAATACTTCAAAGACAATTTTAAATATATTTTTCTTTGGTCCTCAGACTCACACAGCAGGTGCTCTGGTTACAGATGTCTTGTGAATGTCTTTTTATAATAAATCAAAATTTACCAACTTATGTTTGTGAATAAAGAAATGAACTTTAACCAGTATATTTTCAGTCTTCAGGTGTTTTTTTTCCCTCCAGGTATTAAATTGTAGTGTTTTTGTGTATATACATGTGAACTTGTATATTTATATGTATGGGTAGACAAAAAGGAACTTTTTTCTTAAACTGTATATGTTCCATTTTATTAATGAGAACATTTATCATCATGATAATATGGTAACATTTATAAATGAACTTTTCCTCAGTATGGTTATTTTTCTGCCCTTAAGGAACATCTCTGGTTTGATTTAGCAGTGGTTCTGAGGGACACGAAATTGCTTATGTTTTTTAATAACACATTGGATTTCTGAAGTGTTCACTTTAGTCARATTCCTTTATGGTAAATCCATTCTTCCTATTCAAAGAAATGCTTTTTTTCCACGTCACTAATGAAGATTTGGGTTTTATTAAGTCAAATTTTAAATTTAAATCTTCCTCATTCCCCACCTGGAATAATAGAATTGTGGATTTTTTTTAGAGGGGGTGGGAGTACTGGGGGTTGAACTATTTACCACTGAGTTACATCCCTAACCCTTTTTATTTTTTTGTTTTGAGATAGGGTCTTGCTAAGTTGCCTATGTTGGTCTTGAACTTATGTTCCTCCTGCCTCAACCTCTTGATTTTCTAGGCATGCACCACTACACCCAGCAATCATGGATTTTTCATTGTGTTCACACACAAACACACAAAACATACAATTTTCCATTTTAACAATTTTTAGGTGTACAAATCAGTGGTGTTCATTTCATTCATCAACTAATACAACCATCAGTATTATCTGTTTTCAATACTTCTTCACTCCAAACAGAAATTCTGGACCAATTAAGAAATAACTCCCCAACATCCCCCTTCTCCCAGCCTCTGATAACTTCTAAAATCATGAAATTTTAAGAGGATAATAGCACTATGGTGCTCATGTGGGCCATTTTCCCCTCCATTACAGGATACTCTATTTCTCTGAAATTATTTGCTATTGCAGTGTTCTTCATTAAGTGAAATCATATTTTCTTAATTATATAATTGTTTTCCATTTATTCTAGTTTTTGCCTCTGGGACTACAAATATGTACATCTTATTTTTTTATTTCCTTTCAGTCAACCTAAGATCCTGAAGCCTTTCTTCATTATAGTTTTCCAA